ATTATTATTTTCCATAGATCGTCAGAGTTTCGTAGTTTGTATTGTTTATATTTTGTTTTCCATAGATAGTTGGTGTTTCGTAGTTTGTATTGTTTATATTTTGTTTTCCATAGATCGTCAGAGTTTCGTAGTTTGTATTGTTTATATTTTGTTTTCCATAGATAGTTGGTGTTTCGTAGTTTGTATTGTTTATATTTAGTTTTCCATAGATCAAGAGTGTTTTGTAGTTTGTTTGTTTTCCACAAGTTGAAGGTGTTTCTTGTTTGTACTGTTCTTTTTTTTTACTTTCCAAAATGTAGTTGATGAATGATAATTGAGAAAACGTAACTGGAAAAGTACTGATATTTATGTTACTGTTTTACATATTTTCCCAAATAGTGAATGAATTGAAGTACGGCTCGTATTTATCCTATACATACACACACACACACAACCCTGTTATTTATTTTGTTTTGCATTTCTAAAAACAGGGACGGCGTATATAAGAAGCTTGAAGAGGCTTAGCTTATCCAAATAAACCATCCCTTATGGAGCATTATTTTTCACCAACTCATAACTATATATATAGTATCTGTGGAGAGACAGATGGAAAGAGGGGGTATGAGAGTCACTGAGGGGAGTTTATTCAGTTAGGGTCACGCCCCTTCCCCAGCATATGACAGAATAACCCAAACACGACTTATTCGCCCTCTATGGATAGTAACGACATTTAGAATTCAAAATGGTTCTTGCAGTTCAAGACATTCGTATGGATTTTATTGATTATTTTCTATTTTGAAACATAAGTACATCCATATACCGTTGTTATTTATTTATTCGTAATCATTCTTATTATAACGTGTTTTTTTAAGGATATGTTAGTATTTCGAATAAGCACTCTAGTGGCCACATTTATGACATGCGCATTTGGATGGTTCTTGAAGTCGGATGGTCATCGTTTTTTCGTTGTCAAAAATACGTTTTCCGTCACTGTTGAAACATTCCTTCAACTCAACGTTCTTTGTTTCCATCACCGTTTCTCGGCAACATTGGCAATCCTGCAGAAAATAATCAGTCGTTCAGTTTTAAAAATATCACTTTTAAAACGTCATTTAAAACGTCATTAGTTATACATAATCTTACCATGCGCAATGTCATCAAAGCACATTAGAAGGTGGTATTACATTTTTTTTGTCTAAACGAACTTTGATTGTTACTCTTCTAGAGTACTTACGACCCCAAAGTACAGAGTGTAGTTTAATACAACGGGAATTGAATCATGTACTCTCTGACCCCGCAGACCCCCCCCCCCCCACCTGCTTTACATACAGAAAGAAAATAAGCTGTTAGTGTAGTACAACTTTTATAGCGAAAAGAAATACCATTAATAATTTTATTGCAATTCGAAGTTTTGTGCCAAAGTATAAGAAAAGTAACAAAATGAAAAACGAGAAATTGGATCCCAATCAAACAATAAGTTTTTACTTGTTTGTTGTTTTTAATTTAGGTCCCCCAACAAAACTTAAATACAGAAAAAAATTACATCACATACAGTCACGTGCTCATAAAATACCTCCGTGGAACGAGACGTGCACGTTTTAAACATAAGCACGTGAAATGTATTAATGCCAACGGTCGACTGTTTTGACTTGTGATTGGATATTATGGAAAACGTTTATTATTATCTTTTATATGATTGGCAGGATTCAAGTCACGTGTCGCCTCACTTCCATAACCTAAAGTACTTGTATTTGTAGTTTAGAATTTTCGTGCAAAGTTAGACAAGAACTATCTGCACATAATCGGTTTTAATTATTTGCACATAATCGGTTTTAATTATTTGCACATAATCAATCCTATTTATTTGTTTGGAGTTAAGCACAAAGCTGCACAATGGGCTAT